GCACCTAAAGGAATGGGATGTTATAAATAAAAATGTGGTGGAACGTCTGTTTGACATAAGTATGATTTTGAAGGTAAATGTGATTGTATTAAAAGTGCTTAGGGAGGTTAGTCACTATATCCAAATATATCCTATCCATTCCGTAGCCTACACTACAACCAAGTGAAGTCCTAATTGATCTTAGACTGAATAGGCTCGATTAGTAAAGTAGTACACTATGGGCAAACCTATGGTACATCTTTGTGGCATGTGAATGTTCTTTTTGAGAGTGAGCAAATTTTGTCCATCTGATTTCCTAATTGTTCTTAATAATATTAATTGTGGAACTATTCTCTTGTGTGATGTGAGGGCATGTGATTCACGAAGGAGAGGCAAATCTTGACTTCTGTATAAAGTGGTTTGAGTAAGTACGAATATTGCACGGCACGTGAGAGTCGATTTTTGAAGCAAAGGTTGTTCACTACTAGGTTCAACTTGGGTGAATTGTTCTTGGTGTGATACGTTAAGGGAAAAGCTTAGGGAAGGAATTCTGATAGAGTGTGGTGGATTGCTCGAGGACTAGCAATAATTTAAGTGTGGGGTGTTAATAATAGGCTACATAGACAATAATTACACCCTAATTATATTATGTTGTAATGTTGTTTTATAGGCTAAATGATAACAAAATGCTCTAATTAGTGTTCTTTTGCTTAGGGACTAATCTAAGTTAGGAAGAGCTATGCAGTTGCCAGAAATTTTGGGACCAAATTGTAACTAGGAAAAACTTATTCCAAACCCTTATAAATCCAAGAAGCTCGCCCAAGAAAGTATCAAGCTTGTTTTTAGACTACTTTGGAGGCAAGAACAAGTGTGAGAAAGAGCAACCAAACATTAGAGTTTTTCTATCTTCTCTTTATTATTGCAATTACACATTATGAACACTTTTGTAGTTTTATCTTGCTTTGTTATGAGTAGCTAAACATTTGATCTAGGGTTAATGGAACCAATTGTTGGATGAAGTTTTGACTCAACTTTGTTATAATCGAGCTGGGTTTATTATATGATTGTTCAACTATGTTTTGTACGGTGATTAATTGATTGGGCCCTTGATTAATCGTGTCTAATTGTCTTGTGTTGCTTGAGAAAGAATACTAGGTTAGATTGTTGTTGAACAACACCACTTTTGGGTAATTGAAGAGATTCATTACTTGAATTTAAAAGTGGGGTTAGAGATAACGAAGCTTTGGTGGGATAATTCAGAGTTGCACAAATTATCAGCTAGAGTAGTTCGAGAGAATATTTTAGTAAATTATCATAGTTGATCGAGAGATAACAGCGATAACCCATAGCTCATAATCCTCATAGAGTATTACGGTGAGATTATAGCAAAAGAGTTAAAGCCTAAATTAGCAATTGGGAAAATCAATACCCTAGACCTTTTTACCATTGAATTATCTTTGATTTAGCATATTGTTATATTTAATATTATTTGAAGTAGTTAAACAAAAACCCAATCTTTATTGATAAAAATTTTGCATCTGGAAATTGTTTGAGTTGATAATAGCATTGCCAAGAGCTATAATAGATAGGTTAGTTCCCTGAGGATTCGACTCCGGACTTAAAACCGGATTATATTTGCAACGACCGCTTTATCTTTTAGAAGGCATAGTTGGGCGGGAACACTATGTTGGGTTAAAGGTGGTCAATTGAACATCCTTCGGCAAAAAATTACATTGCATATCTAGGTAAAATATTAGATTTTAAAGATATAAAACATATATTGAACACTCTTTGTGAAGGAATTTTTTCTCTTCTTTCAAGTTGGAACACTCTTAGGGAAATTTTTGACTTCGTCATTGCGCACATCCCCGCCATCATAGGGCGAATTTAGTTAGTTATAAACAAAAAATTCAACCTGACACTAAATCAAACAAACAAATGCCCTAATTCTTGTCCACAGGCATCTTAAAGCTGACACAAAGGACAAACATGATTTTTCTCAAGCCATTGAACGATACAACCTCCATGAAAAAGGTGCTTGCATGGCATGCGAGTAACTTCAATAATACCTTCTGAAATCAACATATCAAAACATATGCTACAATTCTCACCCACATTCTCCTCCATATTGATCATCTTTTCCACCTTCACCTTCTCCAGTGCTTCAATTGCATACGCCGATGCAGGAATGGGCACAAACTCACTCTCTTCCAACGATAAGCCCGCGACCTGTTCTATCAACTCATCCTCATAATAATTTTGGTAAGGATTCGGAATAGCTTGAGGAATACGATGAATTATGTCCAGAACGATTGGGATTCTTTTCGGTCTTTCATGATTTTCATGGAGGATCGATAATGTCTTAAGCTCGATGTCTCGTATCATGTCTAGTTGATACAAGAGAGGAACATGTAAATATGTAAGCATTACATGTATATTATCCCATATATCTAATTTGTCCTCTATGTCAAAAGAGAATTTTTTTACTATATGATAGTTGAAATGAGTGCGATTATAAAACCTCCAACAACCATCAGCTGCGAGATAGAAATTGTGGTGCAATTTTTTTATTCGACATAGGAAGAAATACAGATTAACTAACGGTATTCATTAGACTTGAAAGATGCTATTGCACAATTTCAAGGTCCAAATATTCCAATACATGTTCTGTAGGACCAACTATTACCTTTCAAACAAGATCAAGTATGAAAAGAAAGAAAAAGATAAATCAGCAAAATCAGAAAGTAAAATCATATTTTCTCTAATTTGTAAAAGGAAGCAGTGAATCTCTGAAAGATTTAAGTTATATACGCCGACAGAAACTTGTTATTTTTACAAAGACAAAAAATACTACTAACATGCAAAATAATATAGAAAAACATGATGTATTATTAGGATATTCCATCAATCTCTGGATAACATTTAAACAAGAAAAGAGAACACTTGGGTAAAGAAAGAAATATAAAAGGGTGAATACAATCTTCAAAACGGATGTACGTACATTCCATCTTTCAAATTTAAATAAATGCTCCAAATGAGATAAATCATTTCGAATATAGGAAATTTGAAGGTAAGACCCCAAGTCCTCCCCCCTGCATGTGTACAATTTTTAATATTCAATAAACTGGTAGGGATCTGTCTAACACTGGTCATACAGACAACTTCCTCACAACAACAAAAAACGATGAGAACAATTAAAAAAACGACAACAAGAACAACAAACCTACTAGTAAGAAAATTAAGGTTTGGTACTAATAAACTAGGAGTACCAAAACTGCGTACTACCACAGGAGCGGATTTGATTAAAAAAAACATTCAACCTAAAATCAAATCAAACAAACAAAAGCCCTAATCAAATGAGGGTAAGTTCACAGTTTGCTCTATCAACGCGATCTCACCCTCATCTGCTTCGCCATGATAAATTTGGTAAGGGTTCGGAATTTCTTGAGGACGACGATGGACTACGTCTACTGTAAAAATAGCACGGTATAGTCAGTTGTCGGACTGGTCATTCAAAAATAGCCGGCGTTTACCAAGTCAATAAAAAATAGCTATTATTTTGCTGCAACAGTGATCGGTCCAGCATAATATACTGGAGTTCGGTGCACCTGTATACTTTGCTCGCTCCAGTATAATATGCTGGAGACTAGAGCACTGGTGCTCCAAACTCCAGTATATTATGCTGGACCGGTATACTTGCTAGAACTCCAGTATCTTATGCTGGAGTTCTATTGTACTTATGCTGGAATTCCATCATATTATGCTGGCGTATTTTCCCGGTTTTGAACAGTGTTTTCGCTCAAATTTATCTTTATATGAAAAATGGCTAAATTTTGACTACTTTTGAAACTGAGCTATTTTTGAACGACCAATTGTAAATCTGGCTATTTTTGAATTTCTCTACTATAGGGATTCTTCTTGGGCTTTCATTTTCTTGGAGAATCAACGAAGCCTTATTTACTATGTCTGGTATAATGTCTAGTTGATATATCAAAGGAACATGTAAACATTCAAGCATTCGATGTATTTTGTAGGACCATGTGTTTTGGTCCTCTATGTCAAAACAAATCCATCTGACTATATGATAGTCAAAATGAGTGTGATTGTAAAATCTCCAATGAACATCGGGTGTGACATAGTAATTAAGGTATAATTTTCGTATTCGACATAAAAAGAAAAAATTATCCTCCGGCAGATTTTCATCGTCGCGGAGGATATTTTTTTATGCTTGATTTTCCAAAGAAAAGGATTACTAATTGCTTGGTTGAATTCTCTTGCCATTATTACAAAAAGAAAGAGAAAGGGTTGGTTTAGTAGCGACTAAATAAAGGGAGAAAAGAAGCAAAGGGTGAATGGTTCTTGCTAGTTAGCTATTTGATTATATACATTAGAAAATAAAGATGTGAAGTGTTATATAAGGATGGAGAGGGGCATAAAAGGAGCACAAAAGATGTAAATTGCTAAGTAAATTTCCATTTTATCTCTCTGTATGTATTCTTAATAAATTTTCTCGAAAAAGCATTGAGTTTCATTTCTTAAATGTCCTTAATTATTTGAATAAGTGGAGAGTATTATTGTTTTCTTCAAATAAGATCAAAATGTACAAGGGATCTTTATACAAATAGCCAGTCATATTAAAATGTATAATACATAGTGTATATTGTATAATAGTTATATCGTTTTTCCTTTTTCATGCATATATTAAGAGAAATTTAAGGGAGCATAGATAAAAATTAATCCCTCTTATGTTTTTTTAAGTTGAGTTTGATAAGTATTGTATAATGTATACAAGGGTAGCTTAGTCTATTATATGTATTTATTCACTATAAATACTCCATTGTACATGTATTCACTGAAATTTCTCTATGTGTTAAGCCAGCTACTGATCAACTTTGGTTTTCTTCATTTCCCTGCTCGTGCTAGAGCTATCTTGCATTCTTGAACTGTGCACATTCTCATCTAAGAGTGAAACAGAAATAAAGGAGCATTAACGTTAAACTCACAATCTTAAGCTCAAAGGGTAGACTGGCCTTGAAAGTTAAAACAAGGCTCTAAGAAACAACTGGTATAACTGAGATAAAAATACCAAAGGAAAACCAAATTAAAAGAAATGAACAACTTGGAATTTGGCTCTGCAAAAATTGAATTTTCCTATTTAATTTTGGTAGCGTATTAGCATGACTATGTTTTAAGCAAGGAAACATGAGACTTATTAGTAACTGGAAGAAATTCTGAGGTGAAACAATGAGTATGATGGTCCTCTAAAGATGTAGCAGATGAGACAGTAATGTCGTCGACCCACAGCGTCCACATATGTCAATTCAATAAGCCTGCATAATACCAAAAAGAAAGGATCTTAGCCAGTTGATATCTTTCACTGTTGTGATAAAACTATTGTATTTAAACTATATAACCAAATCCCAAAACACAATCAACAGAAAACTAAAATAGAAAAAGAAACAAACCAATATATGAATTGCTCAATTCAAACAAACTCAGCTGTTTGGAGACACCACAACTCCCTCTACTCTATAACAAACCAGTAACCACTCAGAAGAATATATTATTTTTTATTAGGTAAGATAATCTAGCAACAAATATATAACTACTACTACTATCCCTACTATCCCTCAACCCCACACAAGTTGAGGTCGCTATATGGAGCATCTTTACCATTCTACTCTATTTTGGCCCGTCTCTATTCCAATACTGAACCTTTGCTTAAGGGTACTCTAGATTTCATAGTCTTATACGGACATACAAGTTGAGCTAGCAACAACTAACTTAGTAAAATAGCATGTGTAACAGTTTCTCCACAATAGAAGACAAAACAAACAAATCCGAATCAAAACTTAAATCAACTGGTCGCTGCACTTGGGAGCACAGATCGGTAAAGTCACCCAACAACTAAAAACTTACCAATGGACATGGCTTCAAGAGGTCTGATAGTACATTTTCCTTTGTTTTTTAACATCAACTGCTAACCAAAGATGCACCTGTGTTGCTATTTGTGGACAGATAATTTGAATAGTCAAAACAAAATAAGCACAAACACTACAAAGCTTATGTGAAATAAATTTAACTAAAAGAGGAAAATAATACATATACAAGATTGAGAGGTTCCATTCTCATGTTTGGCATAATTTCAGTCGTATCATCTTCTGAAAAAACTCCAACTGCACAAGCGAGAAACAAGAAATTAAAGCTCACCGCTCTGGCATTACTTAAAAGCATGAAACAACACAAAATAAAGTGAAATTACAAAGGTGATTTGTATTGAAAATAGAAGCAGATCTTGGATTTTTAAGTTAGTGCATATAGATTACCTGCTGCACCCACTACTCTTTTATCTTTAGTGACAATAGGCATGGATTTGGAAAAATATAGGTGCAACATTTATTTGCACTGAAACTGATACTTCTATGTAAATCCACAATGGTAAGAGGAAATGAAACAAATTCTAAGAAATATAGAGCACAAATATCCTTTAAAAGCATAAGTCAAATAGAAAATCAGATGAAAATTTCATCAATTTGATTGTGCGAAGAGAAAATGAGAAAAAAATTTAAAAAGCAAAGAATATCAGTGTGGATAGAGAAGTAAAAGAACCTCAGCTGCAGAAAAAGCGAAAGCGTGAGGATCAGATTGGCTACCCATTGCAATTATCTTTTACTTGTATGTGAATCCGAAGTTTTGAGTACTGAAAGTCTCACAGTGACAAATCTACAAGCAACCAAAAGTAAACACAATAAGCAAAATCCAAGATACCCCATATTCCAATAAGCTAATATTCAAGTAATTTCCAAATTAAAAATAGTTCACTATAAAATAAACCAAAAGTGAAAAATAATAAAGTATTCATTGGAATTATTATGTTCTCCTACTATGTAAAATCTCCAAAATAGTAATTGATTAAAGATATAGTATTTTAGAAGCTCTAATGTATTATTGACGTCACACACAAGCACTTCATTTGAGACAACAACATGTATTTTATCTAATCTTGGTAAGGTTCAAAGATAATCACACCAGATAGTAAGGATTTGTTGTACAAAGAAATACTACAATTAATATTGTAACACCGAAATACTTTAATCCTTTCAGCTAGATTACTAATAAAAATAAATCATTTAACAATGTCATATACATTATCAAAATTACTGTACGAAATAGGAGAAGACATTGGTGGATAAAAAGTAATTTTATCGTAACAGAGAAGAATAAGTTCACAACTGTGAAGCAACAAATGAAAACACATCAGTGAAGGATGTAACTTATAATAGACAGTAAATACTCCTTCTTCAAGCTATGTATATGCAACACATCCTCACATTTTCAAGAAAACAGACAGAAGAACAAGCAAGAAGACGGCATATATGCATTGCAACAGGTAAAAACTTTTTCTTTGTGTATTTATCCTGAAAAGAAAGTTTCAAATATTTTATATTCAATGATATTATACAATGTCAGAAGTAGTGCTAAAAGCACAGAAGGTAAGGGAAGTTTGTTGTCTTAATCGTATCCTTTTTAATTTATCAGATAAATTTTTGTACTCGATATAAAATGATCAACAAAATTGTATAAGTGCACATATTAAAATACGTTAAAATATTATTTGATAGTTTGTTTACAGTTTGTATTGTAAGGTGAACAGTCTAATGATGTTATACATCCATTGTTAATTAAATTATATTGCTAGTCGTTCGATAAACCATCCAAAGAGTCAGTGAGTATATATCTTATATTAACATACAATAGATAACTTAGTTTAGAGGCCCCGTATCGTCAAGAGAAACTACAAAAGAAGAAACATGTTGCGCCTCTGTCATGGAGGTAGGAGGCAAGTGTCAAATTCGAATATCACAAGTACTGCATTTAGCCACTATTCAGATTTTATTTGACAACAAAATTTTCATGGTATCCAGAAGAAAGGAAAGGGAATTCTCTTTAATTGATCAAATTTATAGCAGAATGTTAAAGTTTTTCCGGCCAAGCAGTAAAATAATTATTGTTTCAATCGATTCAAACATTATAAATTTTTATTAAATAATGTCCACTTTGTTGGTAAAAATATACCAAAATAATAGTAGCTAAAGAAGGATCCAAATTGCAGAGCTATCTACATAATACATGAATTTCAAACCTTGCGCCACTGCCGCTCGGGATATCTCTGTTAGTAAACCAAAATTATTTCTTAAGCAAAGGAAAATCAATCTTGATGACTATCTAAAATGAAGACAGAAATAAAGCTTTCAACTCAAAAACACCACTTGATAAGCTAATGAAACTTCTTGCAATGTGAGGCAGAGACTTCCTATTCGTGCGTCAAAATGCCTAACTCAAAATGCAACCAAAGAATGAAACCAGAGAAAACAAAAGACAGGACCATGCATAAGAAATCTAATTGAAAACCTGGTTGAAGAATTTTGTCAAACACCTAGAGAACAAAATTTATTAACATGTTTCACTTTATTTGCAGGAATCCCCTCGCTATTCAGGGGAAAACACAAATGCCTAGCATATTATCAGCGATTGAAACAAATCGATGCAAGAAACACAAGATGAGAAGAAGATTACCCAGTAGGAAATACCAATAGACAGAGGGGAGGGGTGAGAGAGAGCAGAGATGTTAAGCGTAGAGCCGTTTGAAGAAGAGGACTTTGCAGATGGGGCTTCTCACCAGTGTCAGATGCAGTAAGAGAAATCAAGCGGTGAGTTGATAGTTGGGCTACAAATTCACACCATAAGAAAATTTTGGGCCAGACAGACATGTTGACCATGAGCTGTCTGGTTATCTCCGTTTATAGTATAGGAATAGGTTATCAAGATAGACAGTAAAAAATGAAAAAGTAATTTATGAGTTATTTTAATGGTTTGAAGTCATATTAAATCATAAGATTTATGAAATTCACTGAAGCTAACAAATTTTGTTGTAAATTTTGTTTTTTCATTACTAAACATTTAACGCTTTTTTTTCTTAATGAAAAGCTTTTCTCATAATTTTTTCACCAATTCTTGACTCAAATCTACATAGTATAAGGCACTCGATGGTCAAGATGTCAAATTCAAACTGCAATTCTCCAGCAAAGGAATCTTTACACAAATAGCCGATCAGATTCACTACTTACTTTTTCTAGTCGGTATATAATAATTATACATAATTATAGACATATTATACATAACTTATATATTATATAGATTTATCGGTTATTTTTAGTTTAAGCAATTGGGAAGACGGTTATTTGGGATAAATAGCTCCCACTGGTCCAAAATGTTAAGTAGCCAGATTAGTAAATAGGGCCTATTATAATGGTGGGGAAACTGGGCAAAATGTTAGAGGCCCATATCTCATCAATACCCAAAATGACGATTTACATATAGTTTTTGCGAAATTCTTTAGGAAAACAATATTGTATAGCCGCTCTCAAATAATAGCCAAATATATATGTTAAAATGATACAAATTTTATATATTTTTTTGGCTACCGAATATAAATAACTTCTGGCGTGCGCCAAAAGTGAAAAAAGCCCAAATCTCAAATTCCTTCTTATTTATTGTATTAGATTTTTTAATTTCATAAACTCGTACATATTACTTTCGGATCTGTACCCTGTACAAACCATTAAAGACGAATCACTCACTACTAGGATAATGAAACATGATTTAAATGGTATTTTATTAATTTATCCAGTAGAGAATTTAAAAAAGTTAAATTATGTAGAAAATTTTAAGTACACAAACCTTCTTTTTTTGGTAAATAAAATACATATTCCAGTTAAAGCTGAAAATGAAGTCTAATTGAACTATTCTATTTCTTTTACTAAATTTTACCATAAAAAAAAGAAGTAATTAAATTTCGATCATATCTCTTTATGAGTTTATTCAAATTTTTAGCTTAAGTCTTTCCCTTCATGTATAGATTCTTGAAACACATCGATTATACGTCTTAAAAGAATCATAGGACAAGCAGAACTGTACTTGGGGTATAAATAACAATTTCTATAACTATTGAAATGAAACAAAAAACATGCAGCCAACCTAATTAATCACTTAGCGTTTGATTGAATTATTTTGGCATTTTGCAATCAGAACATATTTTTGTCACATAAAAAATATTAAAGTTATTATTAATAAAATAGACCATATACCAAAAAAATGAAATGCAAAAACTACACAAATAAAATTTTTAGGTGAAGTTGATAAGAAAAAGAATACCTGATTAAGAAGAATTCCATCTGTCTAAGCTACAATATATGACTCAAATGAAAGGAAAAGAAAAAGGATGATATTTCATTTTCAAAAGAATAAATTCTAAGTCGAGAATAAATAAAAAGCAAAACACGTTTTGGTTATGACCACTAGAATTTGTTTTTTTTAAATAACATAAAGCATCATTTTCCACTAGTCTATATATATGTGCTTTTGTTAAAAGAAGATTTTGAAAGTATGATAAATAACCTGCTAAACTTAGTTAAAGAGTTTTTATAGCTTGTAATATCAATATATATATTTTAAATCCAACAAAAATATTTTGCTATTTAATTTTAGTTTTTCAACAAGTCCACGGTATGAATCTTGCTTCTTCAATATTTTATGAATTATAATTTAAATACAACAATAATATCTTACTCCATTCCTTTTGGAGGTGTTACATTTCCGAGACTATTATATTTTTTAAAGAGATAGACATAACTTAAATTATTAGTATTAACATTCTTATAATTAAGCTATTAGAGAACTGTTTGTCCATAAAACTTTGCAAGTTTTTGAAAAGAAATCAAAAATAAATTTTCAAAAATCAAAAAGTGATTTTGACCACTTTTTTATATTTTTTCTCCACTCACAAAATTATAATATTTTCAAATCAACTACATATCCAAATATAATTTTAAATTTCAAATACTATTTCTCAACTTACCTCCCAATCCTATTTTTTTTTCTTCAAAAATTATAATTTTTATATACAAAATGCCTCCTAAAAATCTACAAAAAACATTCAAACATAAAATAATATGAGTCAGAGAAAGTAGTAAATACTCATAAATCTTCACAACCTAATCAATCATCCAATCGATGAACATGGGGTTCGTCAAATCACACTGAGCTGTCCCCACTCATCTTGCCGACGATGTCCCTTATTTATTTAAAAAATTGTAGTTGAACTCTTAAGAAAACGAGGAATTCACGGTAAAATTATCTTTGCGTGTCTTATAAACTATAGTTTCGATTGTTTGAAGCAACCACTAATATTTGTAATAGGGAGACATCCACATCACACCTTCAGGGTGCGACCATGAAACTTGCGCGAGATATTTTTGTGTATAAGGGTACGACATATGTAGTGTTATAATACCGGATTCATCTGAACCTAGTACTTTCGATGCGAAATATAGATTTAGTATAAAAATTTACTAAAATTACAACACATATAGTGAGTCTAAACTCATAACTTTAAAAATATTGTAGGTCCTAAATCTGCCTGTGGCATCGGGCTAGCCTTTTACTCTTAGAGGTCGTTTGGTACATGAGATAAGGATAATAATTTCGGGATAAAATTTGGGATTTAATTTGTTCCATGTTTGGTTTGGAGTATTAGTTAATCACAAGATAATTTTTACAATAAAATAGTGAAATTAGTTAACCTATACAGCAGAAAATTAGATAACTAATCTCATGATATATTCCCCAAAAATATCCTATATCATTGTACCAAACGACCCGTTCAAAAATTATATATTCCAAAGTCGTCCAACCAAAGAACAAGAAGAGAAAAGAAGAAATCGAAGAAAGGAACATGTCTACTTTATATTATGAGTCAGCATTTTCAACTGTCTTATGTAAAGCTGGATATTATAATTTATAATTTACTACTTAACTACTTTTGAATTAAAACTTTGTACTAATAGAAACACGTTCATTTCTTGATAAAGGGAGTACTTTTAATTTGGTCTCTACAATTCAACCATTTTCTCTTACCTCGACTTCTTTCTTGTTTCTCATTAATTACAATCACATAAATTTTCCGCCCCCCACACATCCTATTTCTATATTCTGATTCTCAAAGCAAAGAATCTCACTTCTTTCTTTTTCCCTGTTTCATTGATTGAATGATTTCAAGATCGATTTTTTCCTCCTTTTGTGGTTGTTATACATAATTCTTGAAAAATGGCTTCACAAATTTTCCCAAAGGTGAAGAGTGAATCATCGGAGAGTGGTGGTTCTGAGAGTGGAGCTGATGAAAAAGGTGGAAATAATGATAATTTTGAATATTTTGGGTGGGTTTATCATTTGGGTGTTAATTCAATTGGACATGAATATTGTCACCTTAGGTTCTTGTACATTCGTGGCAAGTACATGGAAATGTACAAAAGAGACCCCCATGAAAATCCTGGCACTGTAAGTATAAAATGTATGTTGTTTTTGTTACTTTATTGGTTTCTTGTTCCTGGCACTTAAGTTTCTTAATAATCGAGAAATTCTCGACGGCCAGTGGTGCACGATTCAAAACTCGATTGAATAATGGGCCCGTCCCTCTATCCTTCTCCACTTATGTATCCGGTTTTTGTTTGCAGCAGGTTTGAATCCATGATGTGCGTCTAACCCCATACATCACGAGCTGCGGCTCTTAGCACTAGGTGGATAGTACTCCCTGCGTCATTTTATGTGATGGACTTTGACTGGGAATGACGTTTAAGAAAGAAAGTTTTTTGAAACTTATGGTCTAAAACATACCGCATATATTTTGTGTGGCTATAAATTATCTTATTAAAGGTAAAATGAGAACTTTTAAGTTTAAAGTTAACTTATTTCTATATGTAGAAAAGTTTCATTCTTTATGAGAAAGACTAAAAAGGAAAGAGTGTCACATAAATTGGGAAAGAGAGAGTAGTTTGTAGTTTGTATCATGTTAGGTGGATTAAAATTGGAAGAATGTGATATGACTTAAATGATGATTAATGATGGCTAAAGGGGGAACTTTTTGAGTCGTGGGTGAGATCTTTTTGAGTAGATGGAGTCTTTAAGTGTTTCTTGAGTTGCGTTTGCTTGAAATGACCGTAGAAATTTTAGTGTATGTGGCTCTTACTAAGTACTAGATAATTGCTTAGAATTGGTTTTAATTGAACAAAGATTTATGTGGATGATCAAAGTTGTCATATTTATGTTAAGAAGCACAAATGATGAAATTGTACCTTCTCGAGTTAGCAGAGAGCCGAATTGAGGTGAAGATGGTGTCGATGCTTGTGGTATCTTAGTTTTGGCTAAAGTTCCCCAAAAAGAGATTTCTTTTAATGCAAATTCATCTGAAATGATTACACTCCACAAAAGATGCAAGTAGCATACATAAAGGATAAAATAAGAGAAGGCCACTTGACGTGGACTAGTCATGTCCTATGCCGACCTTCACATGTACGGCTCGTAGGTATGGAACCATAGAGATTGAAGGTGTTGAAAGAAGACGAGGTAGACATAGAGTTATCTCGAAAGACCTACAATCGCTTGGAATCCATACAGAGTTAGTGAAAAGTAGGGCGTAAAGGAAGAAAAAGATCATATAGGCAAAAAAATGGGTGGGGTTAAGGTTTAGTCATGTTAATATGTTTGCTTTAGGTCCTGTGTTCACTAGGAGTCTTTTAGTCTTGTTTATCGATTCGTATGCTTGTAGAAAATTTAGAGAACTTCTAGTGATAGTTGTTGGCTTGTTGCCATGTGACTAGGAGGTCACGGTTTCAAGCCATGGAAACAGCCTCTTGCAGAAATACAGGATAAGGCTGCGTACCCTTGTGGTCCGGCCCTACCCCGGACCTTGCGCATGGTGGGAGCTTAGTGCATCGAGATGCCCTTCTTTCTAGTGATAGAGCATCCTAAATTTTAAATATGTTAGTTTTTGCTATATTCGATTGAGATAGGTCTAATGGAGCGACATGGATAGTGATGATTCATATAGCAAACCCCAACTAGCTAAGGATTGAAATATAATTATTGTTGTTGCAAATAATATTGGTGGTAGTATGTGTTCATCATGTATTTTCTGACCGGATTTATTCATATTTTGGTTGAGCCAATTTCGGGTTAAAAGGGAATCTGATAGATTCAAGGTGTTGATCAACTGAACCAAATGGTTTCACCATGCCCTTGCACTGCAAATATCTTGCAGCGTGAACATAACTTGAAAAACAAGTATTATGCCCACAGATCAAGGTTAAATTTTTCTTTGAGAGAACAGATCAAGGTTAATATAAATAAGAAAAAGAGTTTGTCTGGTCAAATTAGGTAACTGGTTGCACACTTGAGTCGATTTGCACAAGAAATGGTGTTATTTTATGAAGTTTGTAAATAGATTACTATTTATTGGGAATGATTGAAAAGGCAATCTATGAGAATTATCTGAAAAGGTGCCATTTAGAGCACTTCTTGAGGTGCAATACATTAATGTTACTCTTCGGTAAGGCATACTGTTGATGTGGGCACACTACTACATAAATGTAGACTGTTGTTGCTTCACTAAAGCTACTCTTCATCCTCATTATCATAGTTTGGGTTAGTTTTCACGCAATGTAATTTTTAGTCTGTTTTGCAGTTCTCGTATCTTAATATTCAACATATTTTTGTGGATGAGTCACAACTTCTTGTCAATTGTTCTGTGTGAACTCTATTACTAAATTTGCTTCCTTTCGTGAATAATATGCGTAATATAGTGGCGTGCCAATTATCCTGTAAATTCTAACTGATAGATTGGCTGTAGAGGGAAAAAAAGTAGTAGAACTTAAAGAGTGAATAAAAAGTAAGAATCCTTGCAACACAGTTTTGTTGAGTGGGAACATAAGGAAACTTAGTATGCTTTCATTCTGTCTCAGCCGAGACTAAATCTTTTTTGAGAGCTCTACATATGTGAGGTCAGAAACACTTTGTAAACACGAGGAGGAACTGGCATCTGGATTATATGTTATATACTGATAAAGAATGTGTGGTTTTCCATTGGTTATGGAGAGTTCTTGTAGCTCTTTCTAAGAAACACCTAACCAATGAAAAACCACATATTCTTTGTTAATGTAGCTACTTTTTGCAAGGGAACTCCTTTACGTTGCCTGAGAGATATCCACTTAGGTAAACCTTGGCAATACTCTTTAATTTTTTTCAAACTCATCTATGTGTTTCTTTGTACGCCTGGAACTTGCTGGCCATCTTTAGTGGCAATGCTTCTATAGTTCGCATGCATAGCCATTTCCTCACATTCATTGTCAAGCGTGTATCGAACAATTGCTTCATAGAACACAAGTATTTTCGTGCTTAATCACAACACTACCACCACCACCAACAACAAAAACAAACCAAGTGAATTTTCACATGTGGGGTCTGGTGACCAAAAAGGAGTATTTTAGTAACCGATGTATTTGCTGCACAAAGATCGAATGCTGTGACTTATGGTATTACATCCTTTTTTGCAGAAACCAATTAGGAGGGGTGTTATAAATCACACGCTTATGGTGGAGGAGTTGGGCCGTCGAAGGGTTAACCATGGGGTGAGGCTCAGAATCATTAATGTTGATCCTCTGACCCTTCAGCATAATTTTGGCTCTTTTTTTAAATGGTACATCATGTAATTCCAGATAAATTTTCTTATATTCAATGATATTTTCTTTTGTCCTTTTCTAGGATCTCTATGTGTTGAGGTTTCAGAATCGGCTGGACGAGTCAAAAAGGGGAGAAGTAAGTGGACATTCTTTATGCATTATATTATTAATAAAGCTGGTGCTGCTTATCTTTCTTTTGTTAAGCAATCTCTCTAGGTGTATGAATCCATCTCATATTTAAGTCCAAAACGTTTCCGTGAACTCTTCTATGCTATTCTCTCTCAATTATTAATTTCTTCATTGGTGGAGTTAGTGAGTTTCATGGGCTATTTTATATTGAGGAAGCTAATACTTGATTGAAATTTATTGCTGTAAGATTGCTTGTGCTTCGCCCGGTGAGGTCCGAAAATGGATGGAAGCCTTTGATCAAGCAAAACAACAGGTATGGCACAATCAGAGTTTTGGACTTGATTTTGTTGTTCATTTGTTCATATATTAGTTACATGGTTTTCAAATTCAGCTCATTGCATGAAAAAGGCGCTACTCCATTCGCCCTTAAGACTTTAATACTCTCCACAGTTCTGAACTTTTCTGTGTATAATTGTAATGCTATCTTCTGTGCAAGAGAAGGCTTGCACTTCGATCCAATTTGGCTGATTTGACCTTGAACTTGTTAGACGTGGCAATTTGATCTAATCTTAGACGGAACCAGCTGAGTTTAACATCTTTGTTAACTTTCATGTGCCCTTCCCCTTGCAAATTTATAATCACTTGAGTTGTAGGTATAGCAAATAAAGAGAAGGAAAGTGCAGACAACATATAAGAGGGACTGGAAATTTCTTTTTTCCTCTTTGGTCAAATTTTCTTCTTCTACTTTTTGTGATAGTTAAATTAGGTCAATCTTTTCTGGAGGAAGGTGTACTTTTAGTTCATCTACATATGCAAAATATTGAATTTGTGGTTTCTGAGATTAAAGGAAAGATGTGATAATGAAGTACAAACAGAATGAGGAAAAGTAGTCGTTTGTTTCCTGCTTAAGGGTGCAGTAGGAAAGACGACTCTAAATGGATGCTTCTTCTAGCCGTTATTTTTCTCCCGAAAGCAGTTCGTTTTTGATATATAATTTTGATCCCGAATTACCATAACATCATGCTCATGAAAGAATTTGGCCATGTTACTTTGATTTAAANTAAAATATTGCCGTCTTCAAATGTTGTAATTAGTTATCTAATGTTGTTTCCCACCTTCTTTGTAGTGTAGGTGTTCGGATATTTGAAGATATGGCAAACAAAAAGGTATTTGCCATGTCACTAGATTTACTGTCATGATTGCAAGTTTATACTGTATTTGGATGTCTAGACTGCTGGTTATTGGTGCATATTAAGAGATATGATAAATCTTTAAAATCTTCAACCAATCTTATGAAGGTTACTCTTTAGTTGCTGTACTGATGTATGTGATCTTTTTTGTTTATTAAACTATAAAAAACATATTCCTGCATTAGATTATCTTAATCTAGGGACGACCTTCAGGATCGAAGAAACTGATCCAGTAGTATATGCTCTTATGACTTTTGTTTTCTAATTCCGTCGTCAGTGATTCTGATTTCTGATTAATACGACATCTTGCTGAGTATTGAGTTGGAAAGGGCAGAAGTCATTTTGATTGGCTACTTACTGTAGCATAAGCAATTTACTTCTATTCTACAACAAAATCTTGGGTACAAGTAGTAAAAGGAGACTAAGATGAATTTCCAGAAGCTAATGATATGATATTCTTCTTTGATAAGGTAGCTATTGATTTAGTATCAATGAAATGGAAGGTAGATATAAGTTTCTGTCCTTTTCTTTTATCATCTATCTCTTCATATCTTTTTATGTGAAAAATGGCCAAGGCAAATTTTCAAGGATTCCACATTGTCTGGGTTTTATTTATACAGTCAAAAACTTGTCTGACTTGCTCGTTTTCAAGGTCTTTCATATTATCCTGCGTTTTATTTGTACAATCAAAAACTTATCTGGCATTGCTCTCTTCTCCTTTCCTGTAGACTGGTAAAGGAGTTCTTGTCAAGGCCGTTGCTGTTGTCGAAGCTAGTGCAGATACTGTCTTTGACGTGCTTTTGAGTCTTGATCGACGTCGCAGATATGAGTATGTTCCTCTGAATGCTTGAAAGTTGTGGAATTATAAACGACAATCCTGCCTAATAGTCATCTTGCAGGTGGGATACATTAACAGGGGACCTGGAGTTGGTAGAATCTTTGGATGGTCACTGCGATGTTGTTTATGGGACACTTGATCTCAGAAAACTTTCCTGGTAAGTTGCAACCATTCACATTCTGCTTCTTAATGGTGCTGGGCAAGGGTATAAGTTTTGAGAACTGTGAAACACCAGTGAAAATCTGATTGAAGAGCTACAAGAGACATCATGTCGGATGAAGTGGTTAACAAGTATTTCCCCTCTATACGTATTGGATATGGCTGCTTCTAAGAAGCTCCTTCTGCTGCTAATTGCGTCTTTGGTGTAGGACTATTAAAAGCTAGTTGAGTCAATGAATCAGATGGGGCGCTGTGCGATTATGCTTTGGCTATAGGAATTTGCAAATGTAAGCTTAAAGTTAAAGAATCTAACAGTAAGTGACAGAAAAGAAGAGAAAAGAGAAAGAAGCAAATGAATTGAAGAACACGTAGAGAAAAGATTCCACCAGAGAAGTTGAAGATTGAATGTGCTTCACATATCCACTTGCCTTAGGTTTATTATAGTACTCATAACCACCAAGTTACCGTTAAACCCTCAGTGACAGAAAAATTGGATAAGATAATTAAAAGATATTATAAAAGTAAATAATGGAGGAGCGGATAAGGATACATCAGGAAATGTTGGGGCTGTATCCAAGATTGAGGTGTTTAGAGATTTAGGGTGGTAAGATTCAAAGCATTCACCAGGAAATAAGAAGGGAATATGCTATCCAAAGAGAACTGCAGTCAGTAAGATGCTTGTTGAAGCATTATATCACTTTTATGTACGAGAAAGAAGAATGGAAAAGGAGGTTGAGAAGCAGAAGATAGCATTTGGATACGTAAGCAATGTAGAAACAGAATCGAAGAAATATTGCCATCTATGAGCAGTTGAATCCAAAAGCTAGGCGGTACTGTTATAAGCTAAGATTAAGGAGAACACAAACAAGTGAAGTAATAAAAGAAAAACAATTGGTCATGAATCTGCGTTGATACTATGGTGAATGTATTTTTTTTAGGTGTTTGTACATGCAACAGCAACCCTGGTTTTCTTGTCCTCTTTTATAACTTGCTTTCTTGATTGGTGTATAGTCTGATGTTATCATTTTTTCGACCCTTTTGATGTGGATGATTCTTCTCTTTATGCCTGGAGGTCTTTGCTATATGGTCTCCTTGATTCTTCTTCTTTTAATGCATCTCAGGTGCTCTTTTTCAGGTGGCAATCTAAGAGAGATTTTTTCTTTTCTAGGAGGTGGTTTCATGGTCAAGATGGAACATATAGTGAGGATCCTGAGCTTTATCTCTACCGAGCTCTTCTGTATTATGTGCTAGCGCAACTTTTATCACCGTCTATTAGAACTGCTTCTTAGTTTTAGCTGTGTCATTTGTTCTTCTTATGTAGAAAAAGTGTTGATGAACTTTGAAGTATGAGCTTACCTTGGCTGAACCCTTATTTCAGTAGAAAGATAACATGTGGCTCATATCTTCGAGCTCAAAACTTTTTGTCGTCTTAAATATCTAATCTTAGTAATTTGGAAGAACTCATCAGCATCTGACTCTAGTTTCTTCGTTTATTTGCTAGTTCTCTTTTTTCTTGAATAGCTGGAAAGAGTTCATCCTCCAATTTCTGGTTACTTGCTTTGAGCTAGCTTTACTAATAAGCTCATTTTTTGCTGGTAATAAGTAAGAATAATGTGCCTGAATCGGCGCATTTGCTTAAATTTGCTGAAACCTCAGCATAAATTAAAGTATTGTGTCCTAATGCAAATTGTATTGAAATTATAGTCAGAGAGGTCTGAAGTATACTTGCAATTACATGTATGATTGATCTGATGAGTGTTCCGGCAGGATGTTCCACTGGCACTGAATAGTGTATTTATCTCTGAGGTTCTTTCTCTTTGTTTGTTTCCATTATGCTTTCACTGACTGATATTTTTCTACATTTGGTGCAGCGATTTTGCATTTTCCAACTGAATACAAGAAGCGGCCTCCAAAAAGTGGATATCGACGTATAAAAATTAACCGTAAGAAACTCCATGTCATTAAAGATCTAGTACTGGAAGATTAATCAAAAAAAGATATGGTATATGAAGATATCTGGCTTGTGTATCGGGAAATATGTATAATCTCGGCGTTTGTCTTAAACATCCAGTCAATCCCAACTCAATGCAGCTCAGCAGATGTTTGTGGTCTGGAAGTTCATGTCTCTTGACTAATTTATGCTATATTACCTATCAAAATATTTGTGGTGTAGTGAGATTTCACTTCCACTGCTTTACTATAATACTGAAAGTCTTCCTCAATGGTGGATCTGCGAGAAAATGTGACTATTTATTGGTGTCTTAAGACATTGCTGATATCATGAAAATTTTATGGGTTTGATGGTAGCATTTCTAGATTAAATTTGCGATAAGGGCCTATGCATTCTTAAGCGTTGCTGATTGTTCCTGACTAAACTTTGTTAAATTGTAGCTTCTTCTTGGGAGATCAGCAATATAAGCACTTCCTCCTCATTAAATCCTGCGAGATGCCTTGTGACACTGATTCTGGAGATACATTCTAAGCACTGGTTTAAGTGGAAGAACAATGAGTTCTCTAAATTTGAGAGGACACTTCCTTTTGGAATGTTGAATCAAGTGGCAGGTGGGTTGATTTGATTACCGATGTTTTCTGGAAGCTCATGCCTTGTGTTAGAAAGCCTAATTTCACCATTCATTGTATCTTTTTAGCTTTTGGAATAATCGTCCGCGCTACCTATCCAACAGAAAATGAGGGAGGAGGGAGGGAGCATAACCTTTATCTGGTGTCTTAGGTGATTCATAGAGCATATTCTTCTTGGCATTGATGATGCCTTGTTTCCTTGTTTTCTTCTGTTCCCTATATCTGCTTTCGTGTTGAACGAAGATTGAGTTGTTTGTGATTTTGCTCTTATTATGTAATTGAAGTTTATATCGTCTTCTGAACTCTACCGCTTCATATTCCTTTCTGTTCTCTCCATCTTATTCCCCAGTTTTCCTTTCTTAAGCAATGGAAAATTAATTGTCTTATACCTTCCACATCCGATTAAGAAGCTTTTTTTCTAATCAATGTATAGTTTCTCCTTTCCTATATCTGAGAGCTGTCTATGTTTTTCCTTCCTTGTGTATCATTTGCCCGAAAGCCTCAACTGCTTAAATCACTCTCTCTACCTCTGGTCTGCCCTTAAATTTTTAACAAAAGAAAGATTCAAAGAGAGATAACATATACAAAAGTGGGATATGTGACTACGGGTTCGAAGTAGAACGTAAATGCTTTGCATTTCCATTGTAATTTGACAGTAGTAATGAACCAAAAGTCCCTTCTGTCTCTTGTTCCCTTTAACATGTTATTCTGATTATGTTTTATTATTTGTGTAGGTCTGAAGGAATATATTGGAGCAAGTCCAGCACTTACATTTGAATCATCCACAGTAGTTGTTCATTCAAAAACATCTAACGTTTCTATATTAAGCAATGAGCTTGAGGATACAGTGGGGTCAGATGAATTCTATGATGCAATAGGTGACGAGTCCTCATCATCAGATGAAGATAGTGATGATGAAGTAACCAGTAAGAAGGTTTGCCATTTTTCGTGTTCCTCCATCAAAAGCAGTGCATTATTTCCAGAGACTGCTTGCTTCAATTACCTTGCCTTTGAACTATTTATTTACCTCTTTGACAGGACAAAAAAGTCAAGCTAAAAAACGTTTCATGGGCCATAGCAAGCTTGGCTTTAAAGAGGACATCAGGTATTAAATGCTGTTCTTCTCATCCTGATTATTTTCTTCTTTCTTTCTTCTCATTTTGTCTCCACCCCACATTTCTTGCTTTGGTGTATCGTATGTTCAAGCACAAGCATCTATGTAGTCCTTCATCTTCATGATCAATACTATTTCTGAAGAACTTTAGTCCTTATTTTCAAGGACCAATTAAAATTGAACACAAGATTTTTTTAACTCAAAAAGAATCTCCATAAAAGGGGCCTCAACATTTGCGGCAGATGTGCTCTCTGTGAAAAAAGAAGTGAAGATGTCAACCATCTGTTCTTCTGCTGCAGTTTCACCTCCCAACTTTGGAATGTAATGTTCAGTGTCTGGGGACTTAGTTGACCAATTCCTAGAACAGCCAAGATGTCCTCTCCTATGCCGGTACAGGAAAGGTTTAGTAAAGGCTTGATCTTTGGTTTGGAACACAATCCCTACGACAATATGGTGGTCCCTCTGGAAGGAAAGAAATGAAAGAATTTTTTAAGCGAACAAGAAATCCGTGATTACTGTAAAGTTTAAATGTATCTCTCAACTATCTTTTTGCTGCAACATGGCTGTAATAACTGATGCAAATCATTTAGCTCCCAATAATTTTTTTGAGCTCAGTACGCAATATGTGATTGAGGCATAGTAGTTGTATTACACAATATGTGATTACTGTAGCTATTCTCTTGGTGTAACAGCAATTGCTGGATATCAATAAAATAACCTTTACCTATCCAAAAAAACCAGAAGCATTGGTTTTTAGCCTAGATCCGAATGTTTAGTCTAGAAGTCTGCAATGAATTCAAACACCTTGCATAAATCACTCTTTTCACTATATATACCTTTTTTGCTGGAGCAGAGAGTGAGTGGTGTGGGGTTAATTTTATGAACATTCAGGTGTAAGGCAATTGTGTAGTCTTTAGATGATATTGCTGTTTATCTTTCGTTGCTTTAAAGTCTCTTAAACAACTTTATTAAAACATTTTGTTCAATGTCACATGCAGCACCAGACATTAGTAAGGAACTAAATCCCGATGTACCTCCTTTAACTCTTGATCCAAGTCAGTTTCATGGTACCATGCGGCAGGCGAAGAGTGAGAGCGACTCTGATTGCTGGTGTTCGCCAAGTGGTTCTGGGTTCATGATCAGAGGGAAGACGTACTTGAAAGACAGTACAAAGGTAGCTTTTCAAACTTGAAAAATTATCTATTCGAATATTTGAAACTAAGTTTTCACTTGTAGTTATACTAATGCTGGAGGTGTACAAGTTTCAGAATTTTTTTCCAGCTTTCTAATTAATCACAAGAGTCACCTACTTAGCAGTGTTCAGGATAAAAATAAAAGCAAAAACGCCAAGGGTATTATTGCCTCATAAAGTATTGCACCTTTGAACAATTAGTTTTTTATTTATTGTTCATAGCCCGGCAGAGCCGTCTTTTAAACTCCTTGCTTACCTCGTAGTTTAAGTCATGGTAGTATTTGCTTGCATAATTGATAACTGGTGTTGAACTTTTATTTGGCACAAATAATTTCCATTTAAAAAATTAAGCTCTACTGAATCGTAGTAAACGCAATTTTTTCAAGGTCACTGGAGGAGATCCCCTGCTCAAGCTTATCGCAGTTGATTGGTTCAAGGTGGATGAATGCATCACAAAGGTTGCTCTGCATCCTAAGTGTCTTGTTCAGGTAAAGAAGAATTGCTTATTTCCTGACTGCATTTTGCTTCTCCTCTTAGATGAATTCATTTTGTTAGAACAAATTATTAAAGTGAATAAATTATTATATACTTCACATTAATGTACCATAGACTGAAAATTTTGATTATCTAAATTTCTTCAAATCTTGCTGAGAGGATATGCTGTTGCTAATTATCTCCTATAGTAAACTGAAGATGCAATCGGATGGCTCCTCATATGGAGCTAACACTGGGATAGATTACGCTCAGATACCTGACTTTTTGAGGCGAATCATTCTTGACTCTTACATGATTATTGAAATTAGAGTTGCAGCAAACACTGCCTGTAGACTTATTTGTAGTTTTATCTCTTTGAAGTCACTGCAAACTTTGTTGTATGATGGAAAACTTTGTAAAGTTTTACATATTTACTTGAAAGGAAAAGAAACAGAAAATACATGAAAAGGATGATGCCAGAACTCACTTTTCTAGCTTTTTATATTTGGTCATGATTAATGATTATAAGTATTGCTGTGTGCATTATCAGTTTGTCCCCTGAGCATCATAGAATAACATTATTTCTTGCTAGTGTAATTTGTTCCTCATTATATGGTGATAAATGTTCTTAACTGAGAATGTTTGGCCACTGATGGCTAGTTTTTGCACTGAAGTATATTTTGTCTATCCAATCTCATTTCCTGATTCTATTTAGCTGCTAAGCATAATTGTTGCTAACGGTGTTTTCCTAACTTCAGTCTGAAGCAGGGAAGAAACTTCCATTCATACTCGTAATTAACCTCATGGTACGTCTTTTGGCTTTTCCCTTTTCTAGTTTTTAATAGACCACGGTATACCAAGCACTTTCTGAATTTATTCATAAGATTCTGTCTCATTAGTTTTTTCATATGACTTGTTTCATTTCAGCTGTTTCAAAAAAAACTTGAAAATTACAAAAGCGGTTTTAAAAGGAAAGGACAGAATTCGGGTCGTTAACCAGAAAATGCAACCTTGCTGAATAAAAGTTCATTGTAAGAAATGTTGCTGATTCTGTTCTGGCTTGGTTTTCAGGTTCCGGCTAAACCAAATTACAGCCTGGTTCTTTATTATGCTGCTGACAGACCTGTAAATAAGAATTCATTGTTGGGTAAATTCATTGATGGAACTGACTCTTTCCGTGATTCAAGATTCAAACTGATTCCAAGCATTATTGAGGTATCAGTTTCTTTGTCAGTAGCAGACATTTTTTTTTACACTATTGCTAATTGCTTCTGATCACAGGGGTACTGGATGGTTAAACGTGCCGTGGGAACTAAAGCTTGCCTATTGGGAAAGGCAGTAACTTGCAAATACCTTAGACAAGATAACTTTCTGGAGGTTAGGTTCCAAGTTCATTTTCTTGACTTAGATATGACATGTCAAAAAAAAGTTTCTTCGAGATAGATATTATAGGAAAAGGAAGAAAATATTTCTCTTGTGCTCGGGCTTTTATGCTTACATGGCTTTGCGAACTACTGAGCTCAAGTGGCTTTCCTTCAATACATATGCAGATTGATGTGGACATCGGTTCATCATCCGTGGCAAGAGGTGTTATTGGTCTTGTACTGGGATATGTGACAAGCCTTGTCATTGATCTTGCTATTTTAATAGAGGTATGTCATTCTTCTCCTTTAGATTATGGTCCATCTGATCAGTTCTTACCGAAGAAGGAACTTGCCTCGACGGGAGTAAAACCATCTAATCTTTAAGTAGTTCAGAATGAACCACCAAAGGTAAGTACCCCTCCATCATTCACCAGAGATCTCAGGTTCGAGTCAGGGGGAAGCTACACTATCCTAAGGGTGGTCAATTGACATGTTTATATAGGTTAAATATTAGGTTTTATAGGTATATTACATATATTGAACACCCTTTGTTGGAGAATTTTCACTTCTTTCAAGTTTGAACACCCTTGGGGAAATTCCTGGCTTCGCCACTGGACTTCGAGCGCTAGAATGGAGTCGCCTTTGGTAGGAGACTCTTTATCCCCCAAAATCGGATTCTCCGGCGCGTATCCGGATTAGTCGGGCTCCAGAGGGGGCACTAAAAACTGCGTAGGAAACCAATAAAAGAAAGTTTAGAATGACAACTTTATGAAATGATATACCATTTCGCATGTTGTTTCTGGCA